TAATCCTCACTAGGGTTGCGGGGGAGCTGGAACCTATCCCAGCCGTCATCGGGCAGTAGGCGGGGACACCCTGAACCGGTTGCCAGCCAATATATATATATACAGTGTGTATAAAAAAGAGAGAGAGAGATGATGAGTTATTTGTAAAATCGCGGTATATATATATATATATATATATATATATACATACAGTGTGTATAAAAAAGAGAGAGAGAGGTGATTAGTTATTTGTAATTGCTCGGAGCTAATTTACAAGAAAATATCAACGTTCTATGAGCAGAGACTAAATACCTGTACTGTATTATATTGTGAGTGGGATAATTTGTCGTTCCGATTAACAACACTAGAGGTCGACAGCGAATGAAAGAAGCCTTTGTTCTATCTATCTATCTATCTATCTATCTATCTATCTATCTATCTATCTATCTATCTATCTATCTATCTATCTATCTATCTATCTATCTATCTATCTATCTATCTATCTATCTATCTATCTATCTATCTATCTATCTATCTATCTATTCCAACCGGTACCTGCCGTTTCCCCCTGCAGTTTAGTCGTGTTGCTGCGTAAAAATACTACACTACCCATAATGCCCCCAACAGTGACCAAATGGGTCAAACAACGAACGAGCCGCAGTGACAGCTGAGGTTCAGTTTTACTGAGGGAAACTTAAACTCTGGCTGTAATCCGACAACAAACGACAATTAAAGAAACATGTAAGTATGACATTCTTCTCTTTGAGACACCTTAGTAACATTTTACCGACTGAGGTCGTTTAGATTTGCTGCAACATAGTTTCTTACTTCTCGCGACTGACTAAACTTTGTGAGGGGAAATTTCCATCGAAGTGTTGGTGTGCAAGACACGGGACATGCTGGCGTCCAAATCGGTCGTCTTTCTCGCAACATTAATGAAAGTTTTAAAGTTAATTACAAACGTGCCGGGCGTACGTTTTGCCGAGGTTTTGGTAGGTTCGAAGGATAGCGGCTGTTGGCGTTCGCTACTTGGTTACAACTTTTCTTCTTTTGCGGAATATACTGTGCCGTCTGAGTTGCAATACAATATGTGGTATCAGAAACTGAATTTGAATAATTCATATTTGAATTTGAATGCTAAATTTGAATAAGTGTAATGAAAAACTGAATCTGAATTACATAAATTGAATGTGCTTCGTGTAATGTAAATTTTTACTTTGAAAGACCGAATCTGAATTGTCGAATTAAAGTTTTAATTTCTCACTGAAAATTCGATTCTGCAGATTTTTAATTTTAGTTAATTTTCATTTAGTTTGGAGTTTAGTTTTTTTCTTTTAATTCTGATAGTTTTAATGAATTCTTCGTGGGTTTTTTAGCTTTGAGTAGATTTATTTTTTAATGCTATGCCATATATATATATATATATATATATATCTATCTTTTTTTTTTACATTCAATTTCATCATGCAAATCTTTTCCGAAACTGTTTTATTTCGCTTGATCATAGGTGTCAAACTCCGGTCCTGCATGGTTTCCATCTCTCCCTGTTGCAATCCACCTTATTCAAATGTTCAGATCATCAGCAAGCTCTGCAGAAGCCTGATTTCGATCCTCTTCATTTGAATGTTGCAACAGGGAAAAAATGTAAAGATACAGGACGGCGACCCTCCAGAACCGGAGTTTGACTCCTGTGGGCCTTTTTACATTCAGTTTCACAAGTAAAAATTCAGTTCGTGTGATCAACATTCCGGTACTTGAAGATGAGCACTTGAATACACAACTCAGATCTCCTATTTGTCAAACAAGCATCTTCGTTAACACAAGCTCTCCGGAAAAACAAACTTATCTCCTCAGTAGGTCCTTACCTTTATAACACTCTTTTAAACCTTTGTGGTACAAGCCATCCATTCAGGGAGAAATGAAAAGGCGCTTCCTTTCAAATTTAGAAAAGGACAGTGTGTATTGAGCAACGTATCAAAACGAAGGACCGTAGTCAGTACTTCTCGATTTCCAGGTTGTTGTTGTAGTTGTTTTTTTAAAAACATTTTTTGAATATTATCACATATACACAACAAATTGATGGATAACTGGTTTTGAAATCAGAAGCCACTCAAAAATTGTTCAATTCCTTTTCCATTTATTTTAAAAGGGGTTATGGTAACAACATCCTTACAATATCTCAACAATATACAAAGTGAAGACTTTTGAATTTGCAATTTTGTATCGAGCAAGAAACATAAAGTCACTTTCACATGAATAAATAGCCTTTGTGGGCCACATAAAATGATGTGGCGGGCCGGATCTGGCCCTCGGGCCTTGAGTTTGATAGCAGTGGTTTACGCTCTTATATGCCTTTGCCTTGCGTATATCCCTACACGTCCCTCATATCTCATGTCCGCCTTTGACCCCACCTCCACCTTTCCTCACTGTTTCTCTCTCCTCTTACAGGACACACATTTGGCACAGCACCCACACTAGGAGGCCGTGAAAAGAACTTCAGGAGCAGGGAACGGTGAACTTGATGGGCTCACATTAAACAAGATTGTGTCCTAACTGGTCAGCCTTTCTCCAAGAGCACAGTAAGTCCTGTTAAATGTTTTCATATTTACAAATGAACAAAGTTTATATATTTTTTTTAATTACAGTAGCGTACTGTTTCATTGCTGTGCTCATTTGCCAAGGGGCCTTGATCTGATGCAGCACCAGTACTCTTGACATCATGTTAACTGTGCCACTTCATGAACAGCCTACAGCCAAGCTACAAGCTGTTTATGTTGACCACCATCACAAGTTGTTTGTTCTGTTTCCACTCCGTTTTCTTTTTATGTAGACACGTGACAGCGTGAGGGAGACTTCCCGCTTTGTGTGTGAACTTCATCTCTTGTGTGCTCAGTTGTGTTTGCGCTATGACCTGTGGTTTCATTGAGAGATACATGCATTGACGCTGATGTATTGTGACAATCAGCGGGTGATTTTCACTTCTTTGGGACTGTAATTTGATCAGTTATCTGTGTAGAAAAAAAAATTGACTCACATGTTTATTAGATGTGTTTAGGGCACATTTTTACATTAATTTAACAATTGGCTGGGAGTAGCGCTGTTGTTTGATGTCCTTGTGTTCAGATTTTAGTACACACCACAATACCCACAAAAATTGGTGAAGAACTTTTCATGCTTTCTTGTCAATGGGACTTGTTGGTTTTGAGCCAAAGTTACTTAGGTGAGTGAAGAGCAGGTTGCCCTTTTTAGAACGAGTAAAATAGCACATGGGGTTATTTTGTGACAACTTTCTCTTCACATGAACTTTCTGTCCACATATCGCTATCACAGTTGTTAGGGTGACATTGTTGATTAGATTAAGGTGACCCCCGTCTGTTGTGTCCCACACCCTGTGACTGCCTATTTAATTGTTTTCAAATTTTGAAAATAGCTACTAGTTAACAGTGTAAATTAATATGCGTTTGATTTGTTTGTTAGTTATCTTGTTGGGTCATTGTTTCTTTAGTTAGCTAGTAGTGTTGACCTGCCTTTTGCTCCCAAATAGTTTGTAGCTTTGGATTACAATTGTTGCCAAGTGATCAGATGAGCACGATCCCATTTGTATTATGTTTATGTCATCGTCCTAATTATTTGCCTTCTTTTGACATTTTACAAAATGTCATCAAAACTCTGTCATGTTATCAATTCAGCCTTGCTTTGAACTTGTTTTTTTTTTTTTTTTTTTAAACAGAAGAAAAATCCCATTGAGCTCTGATAAACAACTTACAATCTTTTAAAATAGGACAGTATTTCTATAAAATTCTGATCAGTCGGTACGTATTGTGTTGCGGCATAGAATTAACTCAATCTCCATCTTCAAAATAAAAAATGCAATTGCATTTCAATGGGCATCAATTGTACGCAGTTCCTTTCCTCGCAAATAGCAGGGGTCAACTGTAAATAAATGTTCCTTTTCAGTTCCCAGAATGCATTGCATGGCGCAGTGCATTTAATTAATGAAGTTATCAGGACCTTAATCCTTGTCAAACGTGTGTTTGCGTTACCAGTAGTCGAATGTGTGTCATATTTAACACATTTACTTTGCATTTTGTTTTCATTCAATTTTGTAATTTTTACTTTTTTTTTTAAAGCCAAACTGTGATATTAGTTTATGTGTAAAATAGTGACATCCAGGTCAAGTCATGGCACACCTTGCATTGCTCACCTTGGCATTGTATGTAAAAAATAAGATTTGCTTTGTTTTGAAAGACAGGTTCATAGTCATAGGTTCACTGTATCATATCTACAATACATGTCATCATATCCTATAGTGACACCAATGTACTGTCTTCATACGTCTGGGCTTTGGGGTAAGGTGGCAAAGTGGAAGCCTTCTCTTGCAAAGAAAAAGATTCAAGGTTCTGTCTACAGGGTGGCCCGGTGGTCGAATGGTTAGCTTGTAGGTCTCACAGTGCAGGGGTACAGGGTTTGATTCCGGCTCCGGCCTTTCTGTGTGGAGTTTGCATGTTCTCCCCGTGCCCGTGAGTTTTCTCTGGGTACTCCGGTTTCCTTCAACATTCCAAAAACATGTATGGTAGGTTAATGGAACACTCTAAATTGTCTCGCAATGTGATTGGGAGCGCGGTTGGTTGTTCGCCTATGTGTGCCCTGCGATTGGCTGGCAACCGGTTCAGGGTGTCCCCCGCCGACTGCCCGAAGACTTTTGGGCTAGGCTCCAGCACTCCCCGCGACCATTGTCAGGATAAGCGGGTCAGGAAATGGATGGATGGATGAATGGATGGATTCAGTCTACATTTTTATGGTCCGACGAAACCAAGGTTGACCTTTTGAGACACTATTTTAAAAAAGGTATGTTTGGCACAATTATGACGCTGCTTCTTGCTGAGAAAGCACCGCATCTACAATGAAGCATGGTGGTGGCAGCAGCACCATGCTTTCAGTTTTTCTTCAGATCGAGCCTGGAAGTGAAACCTGGAGATGAAGCGGACTATCACCCCGCATCACAATGACTCCATGCAGATAACCAAATCAACAAGTGAATGGTTTCACCAGAAGACGATTAACGTTTTTGAATGGACCGGCAAGATTTTAGACCAGAATCTGAACATTTCTCAAGCGATCTGAGGAGGGCTGCGCAGAGTAGATGCCCTCACAATCTGACAGATTTTTAGCGTTTTTGCAAAGAATGGGCAAATATTGCCACACCAAGATGCATCCCACTGCTTGATATATTACCCCTAAAGACTAAGTGCTGTAATAAAAGCTAAAGGTGTTGCAACAAAATAAAAGTTTGAGGGTGTGCATATTCATGCAACCAGGTTATACAGGAGTTGCAAATTTATTTTTCCCCTTCAAAGATTTCATTTTGTTTTTCAAATGACTGATTCAAGTTTTACATCACATTTAAAGGTGACCATTTTCCGGGATCATTTATCTTGGTCTCTTTTATTACGTCACTAAAATCTTGGATTTGAACAGGGGTATACTGTGATCCCTCCCTCATCGCGGTTAATGGGGACCAGAACCCTCCGCGAAAGAGGAAAATCTGCGAAGTAGTTACAGTTACATGTGTATGAGTATATACAATATTTATAAGGCCAAATTTGATGGTATACATATATTTAGAAGTAAATGTTTGTAGTAATTAACATTACTTAATGCTATATATTAATATATAGATACATGTATGCGATGTATAAGTTAGGTTAGTGTAGAAATAACAAAATACAGTAAACATAAACATGAAATATATGTAGTCCTGTATATGTTGCTCTATGTGACTCGCTGTTGTTTTGCTGACTTTCACTACCTCTGGCAGACCTTTTGTGGCATTGTCACTATTTTTGAAAAATCCGCGATGCACTGAATCCGCAATAAGTGAATCGCGAAGTAGCGAGGGATCACTGTATAGACTTAAAAAAAAATCCACATCCATATGTATGTGGTTTCCTGGCATTGAGATGTCCTCGATTGACATTTTACAGGGAGGACATGTTCTTTGGACATGGGTTCAGAGAGTTGTACAAGTCATAATAAAGGAGATGTCAGCAAAATCACCAATGCAATGTATGTTTTTTTTTGGGGGGGGCAGGCTGTTAATCAATATCAACGTGGCTCCTTTTCTCCCTTTCTGTCCTTGCCAAATACTGCCCCATCACTCCCCCCTCGCAATGCTGTGTGCTTTCTCTCACGTACACACCCTCCTGGAAGGGCATTGCATTCTTTGCACGGAGTGCCATTGAGGATCTTTTTGAGTTAAGATCAGGTCCAGTCCAAGCTCCAAGGACAAACGCTGTTTGCACTACCTCATGGTAACAAGCCTCAGGCGCAAGCCTTATTGTGACACGTTGAACGTATTAGTTCATTAATGATTAAAGTTTGCTTTTGTTTTATTTGTAATTCAACCATGGAGAACATAATGGACTTGACACCGTTATGTTTTCCGTGGCCGATGACCCTGCTGAGTCTTGTGGAATCCCTTGCGCATGGTATGAAGTTTGAGTTACAAACACCAAGGAGATGGCTCATAACCATATTCACTGTGTCGCTCCAAAGTGGACAACAGACTCTGGCTTGTCCGCAGGTGTGATAATCCAACAGTATGCTTTGCTTTCTTACCAAATTGGAAGTGTCAGAGTGTGGATGTGACTTTTGTGCGAAGCTTGAATATTCGCATGCACACACTCTCATGAAGAATTAATAGTGGGCTGCAAATAAGAAATACATCTAATATATTTCGTAAAGCTTGGCCACAAATCAACACACTCAACTGATACGGTATGGGAAAGAACCAGGCAGACCAACAAGGGTAAAGGGAACTAAAGGCCTTGTGATCGTGAATCAGTCTGTGTGCTGGCAAGGATGTGTGGGCTGTGCGTGCGTGGGGCGGGGGTTGGAGTCCGGTTATTTATGTTTAATTAGGTGAGTGGTGTGTGCACCAGTGTCTGCGCTCCGCTCAACCTGACAGTTGCGCCTGACCCTTTGCTCTTTGGAAGTATGTGTGATTGACTTCAGTTATTACATTGAACTATTAGGTTATCCCATTGTGGAGCAGAAAAATCATGCCATGTCGTATTTATTAGTTTTTATTCTCTACCAAACTGTAAGAAATTGAATATGTATTCATCTTTTTCCATCGGCAACAGTGGCCTCTGCTGACAGAAGTGGTAAAGACAACACACTCAGTTGAACTCACTTAACTCTTGACAAAACAGGTGTAGATATAATTTATAGTCGTGATTAATATTGTTGAACTGCTCAGGGATTCTGGCTGGAAAATAAAAGCCATTAACAACACAACTCTTCCATAAATTGATAATTATATATTCATATTTTAATCTGACAATGTCTTACTCCATTAAATTTAAACTGCAAAGCAAACACACTGATACAATTCAGATTAATTGCATTCGGTGTACATAACGATGAATCTTGTTTATCTCAGTATACCGTCAAAATAATTCAGAAGCTGTTATGCAATCACTTCATGTTTGCATCAAGCTCTATGTCATCCGGGAGCCGCCACTGCCAGAAAATAGGCTTTCAACATATGGAACAAAGCACTTGTTGGCTCTCAAGTTTGCATGTAGAGTATTTAAGCTATTACTGCATGCACAGTGTGTCCATGGGTGAGGTGCAGTTATGCTGAAGAACCTGATCGGTGTAGCTTCAGGCGCTGGTAACTCTATATGAATGACACGCATGAAGAGGCCCAACCCTCCTGCACACCTAGTGAAAGGCTCTTTTGATGAAACTAAAAAGGCTTTCTTTTGAGTTTGCTGTTGAGTTTTATGAACAATTTGATCAATCCAAGAGATGACTGCAATCACCACTATGGAAGTTGTTGAGCATTCACAAATACTTTGTGCCCACATTTGAAAGTCTTACCACCTTTTTCTTTCCCTCTCTCTTTCTTTTTTCACTTCAGTTGTTGCCTTCTTTGCTCAGCCAAACCCCCTGTCCTGTGCTCTTTCTCTGAGCCACCAGGGGACAGAGTTGGCCTTTGCTTTCCAGCTTCTGTCAATCTGTCCTATACTCCTATTCTCCAGCTTCTCTTTCTCCTTCCCCCCTGGCTCACACAGGCCCACCTGGACTCCCAGTCAGCCCTCTCCCTCCATGTGGGTTGGGGGGAGGTGCCGGGGGCCCTGGATGTGGACCCCCAAGCTATTCATCTTGGCTCAGCTGATGGAGAACTGGGACAAGCATCTTGCCTTGATGCATCCACTCTCACAGGTCAGTCAGACGCAAAGGTTTCCTTGTTTCAAAACGACTCTGTCGAAAAATCCCTTCTTTGATTTAAATAAATCCCAATACAGTGAAACTCCTCTACAACAAAACCTACATGGGCGAAAACACCCCCTAGTGTGAAAAAATCTTCATGCATTAACACCATTCCCACTCTCCTGCCCCCCATACAACGAAAAAAAACCCTGTTGCGTTATACGAAATCTTTTTCTCTGCTCTTGCCTCACGACGAGATTCACTACAACGAAGTCTAATACAACAGCGACCTCTACTGCTTCGTTCGGAAACGGCGAGAGCAACTACCACACTGGTTTACACATGTGGAGTAGTCCAGGAAGTATTTGTTATTGTTAGTTTCAGACGCAGCAAGAATGTTGCATTGCTCAAATGGCTACAAAACGGACCTTTGGATGTCAAGCAGCTAAGACAAGAAGAGCTCTGACGCTGGAAGAGAGGGTAAAAGTTACCAAAATGAAAGACGGAGGAAGCAAAATAAAAGAGATTATCCAAGAAATTGATATAAGTGAAAGTGAATGCTGATCGTAAATTTCACAATTTCTTTCCCTTTTTTCCTTTCTACACTGACTGTATGAAGTGTCAAATAAGTGTATGCTCATACTTATGCACTATTGGAATAAAAATAAAGAGTACATATACGTTTGTGTGTGCATGTACACATACGTTTGTGTGTTTGTGTGTGTGTGTGTGTGTGTGTTTACATCTGAGATCAAATTTGCTACAGTGAAAAACCCCGTCGTGAAAAATTTCTTGCTGCAAACATGATTTCGTTGTAGAGGAGTTTCACTGTACATAGACACCAGTCAGTTTACTGTTCATTCTTTATTTAATTGCACATAAAAATCCCATGCGCACCCACACTAACATATAGACTTCCTTTGCTCAGACCTCTGTGCAGATCTGCCAGAGTTGGAGATAGTGAGCCTCCTGTCAGAGGGTCAGCCCAACTACACTCTCCGAGCAGACTGTGTATTCGGCTACGACAATGACGACTGGCTGCATACCCCTCTGCTACAGCCAGAGGTCGTCCTGGGGCTCACGCACCAGCAAATTGAAGAGACCTTCAAGTACTTCTGTGAGTATTTTTTTCTTTCTTACTGATTATGGGAGTTAAGAGGTCAGAGGTTTTTCCACATTTCATTAAACACTTGCAGGACTTGATTGACTTTGGTGTATGCATAAGGTGTTATGTCGTGTTTGTTTATCCAGGGCAGCTTGTTTAGCTTGTCATATCAGCACCTTGTATCGTGTTTATGAGACTTACATTTTTACTGTCATAAGCTTCATATAGTGGTTATTATGTCCAGAGGGAAGATCGAGTCTTCTCAAAAATACTTTTTGTTCATCAGTAGTGCCATGTCTTAAATGGCTCTGTATTCTGTCTCCAAATCACTCCACACACTGCCACTTCAGTGCGCCACATAGGTCAGCAATGTCACCAAGCTGATTAGCCTTCTGTCATTTGGCTTCCTTGACAGTTTCAACTATAGCTCTGCAGACAGAACAGCCAAGTGGCAATATTGACCCCCTGATGGCATGCTGACCATGTTAGAAATACCTCCACTTTGTTTCAACAGAATGCTTCAAACAAGCGGTCACCAGAGAGGCACATTTGCATCTTATTTCGTCCGTCGGTGTAATCATCACTAATGCCCGTTACACTGCCGACTGACAGAAACACACCCCGCCTGTCTCGCGTGTTTGGATGCGAGGGGTGAATACAGTGGTGTTGCTTGAGTGGCCTGTAGTGACACTAGGTGAGGTTATGCACCAAAGACCTGTATTCCGCCAATAAACGAAGAGAAGAAGGTGGCGGAAGTGAGAAAAAAAGTTTGCAGTTTGTCGGACAGATCACGGATAGATTTATAGACAGGAGCAAGAGAGACACTCGCAGTGTGACCAACTTGTATTGGATTCTTCTTGGCCACAATGCGGAGTGCGCAGTTAAAGTCAGGCATTTTAAACTTTAATGTAAATCTTTTTGCCGTGTTAGGAGTTAAAATAATGACATCCAGCACCAGCATGCTCCTGTTGTACTTAACAGTATTGATTAATTTTGCAACTAAGTGTATGTGAGGCAATGTGTATGTGAGCTCTTTGGTTAGGCACTGTATGATGTAGATACACTGATATACGGTGCACTCCATTTTTCATTTTAATAAGTTTAGATTTAGTTTTTTAGTTGTTTTTTTTTGACAGACTCACGATTGACGGAATGGTGAAATTTACTGACGGAAGCATGGTGAAAATAATGTGACGGACGAATGATTGCAGTTTGGTTCGGCTTGAAATAATGACATACTGACGATGACGGCCACGGACAAATAATGAATGACGGACCAGCAACATTTACTGACAAGCAATATAAATGAACGGGTCTATTTTAATACATTTTCATACATAAGCTGCTCTATCTTTGTGGGACATTGTATGTTTAAATAGTTTTTTTCTAATTGCACTGTATGTTGATTTGATACATCAATGCGATGGATGATACATGTTAAAATCAAGTCATCAGTAAAGTAACTAAATTTTAAAGTAAATTAAAGGAAAGAAACTAAGATACTTTTTAAAGGTGGATGCATCTTACAAAAACATGCAACTTGACGAACTTCACTTAATAATGATTGCTTGGGCTGCAACGGGTTGCTTATTTTAGAATCTTGTTTGTTGGTCTTGCGAAGAGAGAAAAATATTGACATCCAAAACTGTGTAGAGCTGTCTTCAGTATTTCTTTTCACAGAAAAACAAAAAACATTGAATGCCGCCATCGTGAAACTCTTGATGACCCTTGGGAGGAATAGGAATTCATGAGCTTATGTGGCTGCATCCTCATAATGCTACTTAGGCTGTACTTGAGTGATGCCAAGCCACATGTTCCTATGTGAAGCAGGACAGACTAACCTGTTAACTCAAGTGTTTGGCTATTTGTCATTCGACATATGGTGTTGTTTGGTTTCAATTGACCCCTCTGTTACATCTTCAATGCTGCCAACATTTGGGATGATGGCCAAATTCAATTACCGTATTTCATCAAATAGACGCCTCCGTTTTTTTTCCCCTCAAGGAAAACACAATTGGATTGGAAGCAGTTTTGCATCAGCTCATGTCATTCAAACACAGACTTAAAAAAGTTAACGGCTGAGGCCAGGAGAACTTCTTTGCAAAGTCTGTTGCTAAGATGAACACCTGCACCTACTGAGGCACAGGTGTCAAACTCAAGGCCCGGGCGCCAGATCTGGCCCGCCACATCATTTTATGTGGCCCGCGAAAGCAAATCAAAGATGTCAACTTTCAAGATGCTTGCTAAAATCTCGACCAAAATTTCAAATTCTCATATGTACTAAATAAGAGTGATACTGTAAGCAGTTTCTTGTCACCAAACCCCTCATTACAGTAACTTAAACAATAGGTGAATAAACCGCTATTCTTGACTTCTTTATATGGTTTCAGTCATAATGGCCCTCCAAGGGAAACTGCAACTAAAATCAGGCCCGCGACAAAAATGACACCCCTGCACTAAGGCATTTAAACAGTATGGTATTTTTCTGGCCTGCCACTCAGTTATTGTGAACAAAGCCTTGCAGCTTTGTTGATCTGGCACATTGTGTCACAGGTCATATGGATGAGGACACAACTGCAGTGCAGCGGGGCTGGTGTGCACTCAAACATGTGCTCCCACCACATTCAAACATAGGACATCTGAATGTATTCCCTCTGTATCCATCAGCCCGATGCAAAGTGAATGGGTGTGGCGTTGTCTGCACTAATCTTACGCAGAGCCCTCTCTCTATCAGGCTGGCATTAAGCCTGTGTGGTGAATCAGAGCACCCATTGACGTGGTTGGAATCTACCATCCTGTGTTGCAGGGGTGGGTGGTCTTAATGCCACATCATTATCACTGCGCCAACGTTCCCATTTTTCAAATCTTGCAACATTATAGGAGATATGACACTAATCTTTTGCTAAGTGGATGAGGCCGATGCGATCAACATGAGCTCCGCTTGAGTGTGAATTAGAACTTACTTCATCCATGACCCCTCCTCCACATTGTCCCTTCTGTCCTTGCCCGGTAGTCCAACGTGGCCAGGTGAACGTAGGCTGGAATGACGACAGATTGGCCGTACAGACTGACGGATTACGCATTAGCCGCAAGAAGCTCAGAGTCTTTGCCACAAACAAACGCAGGTGTATACTGCCTCAGAGGCAAGGGGACCTTGTTTTTACCGTACACAGGAGCCAGCAGCATGATGCTGGGGAAACGACAAGTCCGCACAGGGAACCAGCAGTAGAATCAAGAGGATTTAACTCATGGATGGCAAGACTGAGGGCAGTTTTTCTCTGGCTACAATGGAGGTATGGAGCTCCTCTGCATCCGAGGAGGAGGAAGAAGAGAGGAGCACTGCCGGTTTTGTGCTGGAGGACAAAACATGCCACAACAACTACAACAACAACAACAATAACAACAACAATAACCTTTGCAGGGAGGTGAAGCAAGGTGAGATAAGGCATGATGACGAGTATGCTGGAATAGACATCAGGGATTCCTGGGGGAGAAGCTTAAAGATGTTACGAGTAGATCTAGTTTGCTGGCTCGAATGCTTATGCGGTTTGTGTTGTCGAAGAGCCTTAATACGTAACCATTTGCAGAATGTACTGCGGAGTGCCAGCTGTGAAGTCATCTCTTTGAAGGTCATGCAATTATTTAGCAAAAACAGTTGCTAAATAATTGTTTTCAGGTCCTTCCTGATGATAAAAATTTCCAGCGAAGGTGATTAATTAAGTTTGCATGTGCTTGACACAAACTACTGCATTGTGGGGCATTTGATGTACGATGCTCATTGTTTTGTAGAAATCTAAAAGACTATTGCATCATTTTCTAATGATTATTAGTATGGTCTTAGTATCTTACAGTATAGCTTGTTGGTGTGAAAGGAAGTTTTCACAAATTAACTTGACTTCCCCTTTTTCTGAAGGAATTTGAAATGCACAGATGTGCGTGTGTGTGTGTGTGCGTGTGTGTGTGTGTGGGGGGGGGGGAATAAATTTGCTAGACCTACATGATGTGTGCTGCTGCCCTAGATTCTCATCTCAAACTCATCTAAAGTCATGCTCACGTAAAGTAATGACCACATGAATGTTTACTCATTTATGATAGCACCGTTCCACAATTAACATTGAAGTTTAAGGTGATCCACTGATTTAATAGCAACACATGAGTGGAACCTAACCTTTATTCATCGTCTGTGTAGCTGTTTCTCTAAATATGCATATTGCTGGCATCAAGCCCAGCACTGCGGCACAGGCGCCCCTCCGAAAAACAGGACAGTGATGATGCATATCTTGTCTTTAATATGGTTAAAAAAAAAAAACAAAACAAAAAAAAACATTACCCATTTTAGAGACTTTGGACTATTGTCATGTTGTCAATGTCTTTTTAAAATCAGAACAAATTCTCCGAGCTGTATGATAATGCCTTCCAGTCTTGGCAAGACTTCACATTACAACAGTAGACGGTGGAATAATGTGAATCTCAATCTCTGAGTTTATCCTTGCCTGTCTCATCCCTGCACTCCAACGGACGTCATAAGTATGCCTAAGTCAGCAACGCTCATCCTTTGGGGAACAGTACCTTATTAGGCCATAGGTTTATGTAGCTACCGTCGCCTAGAATTAGCACCGCCGAAACCCTAAAACCTTTAGCTGTCATAGCAAATCTCTTCCTTTGATCTCTCCTGCGCTGTGTAGCTGCCAGGTCCACAGGAAGCAGATTGTGTGTTCGATGCTGAATGAAAAATATTCAGCAATCATCACTTTCCTCCTAACGGTTTCTTTACCGGTTGCAAGTCACATTAATCATGTAAAAAGTTTTGATAATAATAATAATAATAATAATACATTTTATTTATAAGCGCCTTTCAAAACACTCTAGGACACTTTACAATCAAAATAAGAACAATAAAACCACAGATAAAATTATAAATAATAAAAGAAGAGATGAATTTAAACTGACTGCGATTTTAAAATAGGTGGGTTTTGAGATGGGATTTGAATGTGGGAAGAGAATCAATATTTCAGATGTTGGGTGGGAGTGAAAGGATTTATCTCAGTAAGTAATATACTGTCAAATTAGATGTGTTTGTACAAGGTCATGTATTTTTTTTTTAAATTATTATATGGAACCTAATTTCTGGTTGACTTTATATTCAGTCCAAAAAAGTAAACGGCTTTAGAAAGTTGAAGTAGTATTCCATTCATTGTTTTTCTTCTTGAAATACAAGAAAATAATATCACCTGTTTTCTGAGTTTGGTCATGTGGTGTTTGCAAGCTGAGTGCTTCGGCGCTGTGATGTCATTTTTCCCAGTTGGCGGGCATTCTGTCAGTACTGACGCAAGGTTCATCTGTCGATCACTGAGAGGACTCCTGTTTTAATGGCGATTGATAAATCACAAAAACTTTGAAACACTCAGGGACTATGCGCCGATGTAAGCAGTTTTTCATCCGCCACCCAGATCTTCACAAACCCCTGTGGTAGGCAGTACATCAGTACTGATGGAAGGTCCATCAGTCCATCACTGACAGACTCCCGTTTCTCTGACGACTGACGACAACACGTGCTGCGTGTCTTACGTGTGTTTGTTCATGGGGTGACTACACTTGGTTGCTTTGAGCGGAGCAGAGCCTACTCATCCTCTCACAGGAGAAAAAAGATATACTTTTGAGCATGGCTAGTCAGTCTAGTGACCTATAGTTGTGTTGGTTGCTAAATCTTGGTTTGTCCCAGCCGATTGAGGAATGTTTGTTGTGTATACCTTTTCAGTCACACTTTTGTCTGTGTCTCTGCTTGTGCTGCATCTCTGTGTGTCACATGGTGATATAGTGACAACTGACGGACTGGGCCATTCTGAAATAATGACAGACTGATGATGACAGACTAGTGAATGACGGACAGGCAATTAATACAACAACCGCTCCGACACAGAGTTTCTCAGCCAATGACATGCACAACTTGGCTCAACGAAGTGGATGGGGAGGGTCAAATTAGCCTGTGGTGCATTTCACAAGTGTTGACCGATGCACAGATTGGCTGTCCAAAATTGCTTCATACCACTTACTAATACGGTAAGGATTACAGAATCATAAAAAATTTTTTTTAGGGCATCTGTGATGTAAACCTGACATGGAGAGGTGGTCTAAAAAAATTTATGTTTTGGGTGAGCGCACCACCAATTAATCTTGCACCTGATGTCACCTAATCGACTTGGTCCTGGATCTAAACAAACAATTCTATACTCCAAATTCCAAAGTTAAAAAAAAAACCCAGCCAGTGTTAACCTCTGCTGTACATGTCCTGTGTCCAGTTTATTCTTGGCACACTCTCACATTGAGCTATATCAGTATCCAGGCGAACCAGGTCTTTAGAGGTGTCTTAGTTCGGCTAAAAAGGATCAAGCTAAGAGGATTGCTATCTGACTGACCACATGGAGTTGTTGTGGTCTGTGGAACACAGCTCCACATTAATGAATCAGTTAATTTTTGTTTTTTGTCATAAATTCATTTAAAAAAATTGAGGTGTGTTTGTGTATTTATTCCACACCAACTCAGACTGGTCAGTCTCAGGGTCAGTATGTACATACACTATACCACCCACATCAACAAAGCCCTTTTGCCTGAACTGATAAAGCTTTTAGGATGAAAGGCAAAAACAGAGCAGTCCAGTTCCGCTCGATTCAACAAAAATAAAGAGAACGTAAATTTACAGCATTATTACATTTTACTGTGTGCCTTATATATCATACTAAAATCCATCCATCCATTTTCCGACCCTGAACCGGTTGCCAGCCAATCGCAGGGCACACAGAGACGAACAACCATCCACGCTCACACTCACGCCTAGGGACAATTTTGAGTATTCAATCAGGCTCCCATGCGTGTTTTTGGAATGTGGGAAGAAATCAGAGTACCCGGAGAAAACCCACGCAGGCCTGGGGAGAACATGCAAACTCCCCACAGGGAAGCCGGAGCTGGAATTGAACCCGGTACCGCTGTACTATGAGGTTGACGCGCGAACCACTGGACCACCGGGCTGCCCGTTTTTCAACCAAAGATGTAAAATTATAATGGAACAACTGTCGCCTGGAGATGAAGTCATTCAGAAACCACCGGGCCACCTCATACTAAAATATATAAAAATATTCCAATTCCCTTTCTCGTGAAGCTGTTTCCATCTGTGCTCTGCAACCTTTTTTACATCACTGCAGGGTTACTTATGGAACAATATTTTGGCATACTAATAAATAAAAGCAAATTATAAAAACTACTACTCACAATTAAGCTGAACGTAGTTTTTGTAATGAATGGGAGGCCTGTTTTTGTTTCCCACTAACTAGCCAGTCCCGTCTTGGGGTAATGGGAGGTGATGGCATCCAAGTGTGTTACTTAGTGTCTGTCTAGTCTCCTAAATTATAATTAATAATTATAATTAATGGTTTTAATTAGTTTTGGCCGGCTTCTGGGCTTACCTTGTTACTACCTTATCACCTGATGAGATGAGCGGTTTTACATGTATAGTGGCATATGCACCTGATTTTCAAAATAAAACGTCTTTCTGACTGATGATCAATAAAACTTTTTTTTCCTCAGTCTCTCTATGCATATCGCAACTATCTTACAGACTGGTGCTGGGCCACATTCCAGTAGATGGGGCGCTAATGGTTTACATGACGTAATGTTAATTACGAATTATTGCTGGTTATAGCTCACGCCTCCCTGTGTGACAGATGCGGAGGTGTGCGAGATGGATGCCATCCTCCATTCATGAAATCTGTTTGCTTCTCTCCCTCTCTCAGTGCTGTGCTCAGACAGAGTTGGCCAGGTCACCAAGACATATCATGACATTAAGGCAGTCACACACCTCCTGGAGGAGGTAAGTCACAAAAGACACACACACACACACACACACACACACACACACACACACACACAAAATAGGATGAGCAGTACTTTAAAGAGGATTACACTTCTGCCTGTCGATAGATAATTTGGGTCAAGAAAGAATATCTTCCTTGCTGTGCTACATTGTCACCCTTTGTACGAATGCGATCTTTTTCAGAAAGAGCGGGATCTTGAGTTAGCAGCGCGGATTGGTCAGTCGCTCCTGAAACAAAATCAAGAACTGACGACCCGAAATGGATTACTGGATGAACAGCTCGAGAGTGCAAAGGAGGAGGTGCAACCAAACGAATATGCTTTAGTTCAATCCCACTTCAATGGTGACTCTTTTACTGCTATGAACTGAGGTTATTGTGGCCCATTTCCCCAGATTGCTCAACTGCGTCATGAGCTTTCAATGCGTGATGACCTCCTTCAGTTCTACGCAAGCACGGAGGAGATAGAAAATGCTGAATCACACTCACCGTGAGTACAACACAGAGAGCTGTTTGACCATTAACAGTGTGCCAAAAAACAAAAATCCTTTGCTACATAATCTTCAGAATGAAAATATGAAGTTTCGGTCGGAATGTGCTTATAATTACCGGTACTGCTTTTACAAAACCAAGACAAGCTAATCTGGCGACTTTTAGTCATTGAGGCTGTTTTCACTTTTTGTCAATCTCTACCATGTTTCCTGCACAAAATAAATCTAACAATAATTCAACTACTCACCTTGACTTCTATATATTTCAATCCTTCTATTTAAAATGAGATTGTCCATCATTTTTTTATGTGTGTATGTATTAATACAGCAAGAGGAGGCAATCATACATTTATACAGTTTGATCATCAGAACGGCCCCTGAGGGAAACCTTTGCTACAATGTGGCCTGCCACAAAAATGAGTTTAACAGCCCTGATATGTACATCATAGAGTGAGTCATTAAGGTTTAATTACCATTTAGAAACGTGGGACGATCTAATAAACAGGGCTTAAACCAAGTTAGGTCCTTCCGCTAACACCTATTAACTGTCAAACTCTGTGTAAGGTTGTAATCGGTCAGCGGTGTCAAAAGTAGCACAAGAATCTAACGTGCGAGGCACAGAGACGAATACTTTGGTCGGATATAATTAGGAGCTGTCTAAAGCTGAATTTGCACTGCAGGTTCCCAGTCTGCTTGTTGTCTGCCGTCGTATTTTCATTTTTTTTGTAAATGTGACCGTACATTGTGTATATTGTGTTGAAGCTTCATTGAAGGAATTAATTGAATTAAGATCACAATAGTGGCTATAAAAGTTGCAAATATATGTTTTCCTCAAATCTTTTTGCCCTAACAGTGACACCCACTGAAGTAAATAAAAACCAACGTTACATTTTATACACTACAGTATACCCTTTATTCGGTCTGAGTTAACTTTTACCTCACTTGATTTCAATGAGTAGCTGCGAATTATTTTTGCATATTTACCATATTTTATAACCAGCGTATATGTATTCATCATGTGAAAAAAATGTTCTTTACAGAATAAAACGAAATGAATCAAGCAGTTCTCTCAGCAACCTTGTCCACTATGACTTCATGCAGCAGAAACTGAAATGTTTAGAGGACGAGAACCGCAAACTTCGACTGGAGGTATTTTAGTATGCACTCTAATGTATATGAACTAAAGAGACAGTTTTTTTCCTTTTCCTTTTTTTTTTTGTCCCTGGTGACAATAATTCAAATTTAGATTCCCTTTTTTTGAATTGTCTTTTAAATCAATGTTTTTTATTGGAAGTGTCCCAAAAATGTAGTCCCATAATGGGGTTCAATATTCTGCACTGTATAAATGTGTCGATTGAGTGACATCATAAATCATGAGACCCAACATTTGTGCAGGCAAGTGAGCTCTGCACTGAGACCACCAACTATGAGGAACAAGAGCAGGAGCTGATGATGGTGTGTGTGGAGGAGCTGTGTAAGTTGTCTCATTTTACCAAGATTGGAATTGCAACATGAAACACTCTTTATTCAAGGGCATGAATCGGACCTGTGCTTTTTCAGCCTCTGTCAACAAGCAGGTTGTGGACCTATCCGATGAGTTAGCGCGCAAAGTAGAAGACTCTTTTCGCCAACAGGAGGAAATCAGCATGCTTCTTGCCCAGATTGTTGACTTGCAGACCCGCTGCAAACGTGTGAGTAAATATTTTGAACCTCAGTCTGATACTTGAAAGAGGGCTTATATCACGAGTTACACTGAATTTGCCGATTGCACAAATTGCACTGCCTAGTTGCAAACTTTGAAATGTTGCACCTTCCTTTGGCCCCTGTAGCTTTCCAATGAGAATGAGGAGCTGAATCAACATCTGAGTGTCTCCCGTGAGAATAACCTGAAAATGCAATCTGAGGCAAGTCATTCAAACTCACTTAGGGATCAATCTGCCTTTTTGGATTTCAAAGCGATCATAAGTGAGACATTGTATTGTCAATCGTAAATGATATAAGCTTGACAATTGCGTCTCCTGTCTGCAGCTGAAGGACCTGCGGGACAAGTACTCCCAGTGTGAGGACATGCTCCACGAGGCTCGAGAGGACATCAAAAATCTGCGAAATAAAAGTCTCCCCAACAGTACTGTACAGCGCTACACTGCTCTGGCGTCTGTCCTCCCCATGGACAGCCTGGCAGCAGAAATAGAGGGCACCTTCCGTAAAGGCTTGGACACGCCTGCATCGTCGGAATACAAGTAGGTGTAGCGTGCGTGATCATCACCGAAGCCGTTGGTGTGTGGATGTTTGTGTTCTTTATCAGATTCTGAGTTAAGCATCGCAATGTGTTCCGATTCTTTCTCAACAAAAAGTGAAAAGAATGGATAGTTTGCAAGATGCAGGAATAAAATGCAGTGGTTGTCCGGCATCCGCAAGCCAAACCTCGTTGGCATTTGAAGGTTCATCTTTTTTTTTTCAAGAATTTTGAGGGGTTCAAAAAAATAGATTTCCTTTCCCCCCAAATGCTTTTCAATTAATACATTAAATAGAATTAAAATTAAATAACACAGTGTAACCGTAATTAATGATTTAGGAGTACAAATTAACAATAAATTAAGCTGGAAGCCTCATATAAATTATATCAATGCCAAAATATCCAAAACAATTGCAATCATGAACATAGCCAAGAACCTTTTGAATCAAGCTTCACTACATAAACTGTAATGTTCCCTCATACAGTACTTCCATACATCACCGACTGTGTGAAGTTGTGGGGGAACACATACAAAACAAACACACATTCTGTCTTCCTCCTGCAAAAAAGAGCCATTTGTATCATCAATAAAACCCGCTTCAGAGAGCATACCATTCATCAAATTATAATTTCTCAACTTCCATGCTCTAATTGACTCTAACAAATCACCAAATCATGCACGTAGCAATAAACCAACAGTTACATAGCAGTATCCAAGAGTTGTTCTAACTGAGAGAAAATAAACATACCAACTGAAACAAAAAAAAAAAAACGAGCTGTCAGAACAAATGCAAAAACTTCACTGTTTTTCAACCAAAAGTGTCAAACTATAATGGAACAACTGCCATTTGGAGATGAAGTCATTCAGAAACTCAATACTGAAAAAATATGGTATGTAATAGGGAACATGCAATTGCTTCTTTTTCCTTTTACTGTACCCAAAATCTTTTTTTTTTTTTTTTTTCCCATTGGTTACTTGCTGATTTCACTTTTTGTGGCAGCAATCAGTTCCTTACCCAGCGCTGTTTGAAAAATGAGCACAACTGCACAATGTCAACAGAGGGAATGCAGTAATGTGTTTACCATAATCAAATTTTGAGTTTTTTTTTTTTTTTTTTTTTTTTGCAGGTACTGTATACTATGAGTTCTGAGTCATTATTTTGAGCATGATTTCCAATACATAAATCCTCGCAGGGCACTTGGACATGGTGTGATTGGAACAATGTCGTGGATTGTACTTTTAGTTTGCGATAAACTATGGCAATCACTGAAGTATGTTATATTTTTCTCGTTTAAGATGCCTGTTTTCTGTCTTGCAGAACCCACCCGAGGCGTGTGTTTGAAACTGTGCGCGTGGTCAACAGGTCGGTGAGGCTGCGTTCTCTGTGCCACTCTCCGGGCTTTCCGGGTTCTAGCCCGGTGTCCCTGCGCTCCAGCTGTACCAGCACCCCCCGGACCAGTTACTACGGCTCTGACAACACCAGTCTTACACTAGAGGAAAAGCCCAGCTCTAGTCCAGCCCAGAAAGAAGATGGGTGCGCCAGAGAACCTCAACACACCCTTTTGGGTCACTGCCAGAGTCATTTTTTTAACATTCTCATGTTTTTTTTTTTCTTTCCTGTAGCCTCAGTGGGCCAAAGCGACTGGGCCAGCCAGGCACTCCGGGAGGCCAGGACCTTGAAGCCGCCTTGCGCAGCTTGTCAGCTCGCCAGCAGAACCATTCTTCTGAGCGGCCTTTCTTCGATGTGGAGCGTGAGCGGAAACTGCGTGCCTTGGCCGCAAACAGCGAAGGGGATGAGGGTTCTAGTGGCTTCTTGACACCAAATGACAGCCTGGCCTCCAGTCCAGTGGCATCAACTGGCACCAACTACTCCAATGGAAGCTCCCGTCACTCCTGTGACTCCTCGGGATCCAGGTCATACCTGCCCGACCGCTTGCAGATCGTCAAACCTCTGGAAGGTAACTGTTTGATTGATCTTTTCAAACGTACATACACGCAGACAGGTGTGTGTTGTGAGCAACTTCACACCGAGAATGTGAATCATTCTTGGCATGGGCGTTTCCCACTAATTATCTCACACTTAAGACTTTGACATTGTTCTGCTATCAAAGGCTTTCAAGGTCCCCCAAGAGTAATGTTTTTAACAACAATAACCATTTGACAGATTTATTGTTGTTGTTATTTGGGCTTAAAGAGAGAGCAAAGTAACAACAACACCAAATTATAATTACCACTCTGTCAATCACCTTTTTTGTATTGCTATCATTTGAATTGTGAATATGATGACCACCATCCTTCACATTCAAACTCAACTCTTTGCTTTTTCCAGTGGAAATGCTCTCAGATATTCACAGGACAACTATTCACAACCCTACTCTATTTTTGTGCTCTTCCGTCATGCCCTAAGATGCTACAAAGTGGTGCCAAACCTCTGACTAATAGGAATGTAGTAACTGTGTCAAGGAAGTAGTGCTCCGTGTAATATTCCAGTCTGTATCATAGTACTATGTATAAATGTCGACGATACAATAAAGGAACAGGGAGGCTAAACTGCTCATATTGCGTGTCTCACGGCGATGCGACACGACTTTCCGTCCTCGTGCCCTCGCAGCACATACACAGTGAATGTGTACATTGCTGAATGCCATGTGAAAAGACTGAACACAGAGAGGTTTAAATAGTTGTTTCCACACCCACAACGTGTTTGGTTGTCGTTAGTGTCTGTGTATGTAATGAACAGGGGCGAGGCAAGACTGTGTTGGCACAATTTGATTGAAATATTAGTGCAGTTAAAAACAAAACAAAAAAAAAAAACACGTTCAAGCTCCCTCAGTTGCACAGTGCCATGCTTACATTAACACGCCGTCAAATGATGCCATTTACATGCAATATAGAGCTGGCAAAGTGTCAAAAACTCAACAATTTTCTTGACAGTAATATGGTCTATGCGCTTCCACAAGATGGCAATCTGATTAATGTTGCGTTTGTGGAATATTAGTTAAGCGGCAAAATCCGCCCGTTTTTAACCCTCTCAGGGGGCGGCAATCTCACAACACTTTGCCAACTGAAAATGACATCACAGTTGTTCAGGACTCAGGTAATGACCAATTATGACACACCTGTTTTCTGAGGCTGGTGGGGGGGGTGTGCTGGAGCCTAGCCCAGTTGTCTTCGGGCAGTAGGCGGGGGACACCCTGAACCGGTTGCCAGCCAATCGCAGGGCTCACACAGACGAACAACCATCCACGCTCATACTCGCACCTATATAGGGACAATTTTGAGTGTTCCATTAACGTGCCATGCATGTTTTAGGAGTGTGGGGGAGTAAACCGGAGTACCCAGAGAAAACCCATGCAGGAGAACATGCAAACTCCACACAGGAAGGCCGGAGCTGGAATCGAACCCTGCAACTCTGCACTGTGAGGCCGACGCGCTAACCAGTCGACCACCAGGCCGCCCATTATTTATTTAATTTTCATTTTTATTTTTGGGTTGGCGGGGGGTATGTGCCCTTTGATTGACTGGCAACCAGTTGAGGGCGTACCAGCATGGGCGACTAGTGCTTAGCATGTGTACCTTACAGTCAAAAGGTTTCGGGTTCAAATCTTGATCCCCCCGCCCCCCCGTGTGGAGTTTGCATGATTTGGCCATATTTGCGTGGGTTTTCTGGAGATACGCCAGCTTCCTCCCACACGCCAAAAACTTGCATGTTGGCTTCATTGAAGACTCAAAATTTTCCACGGGTATGAATGTGTGGGTGAACATTTGTTTCTTTTTACTGCCATTGGCTGGTGACCAGTCCAGCATGTACACCACCTCTTGCAAAAAGACTTCAGACTTCAGCTCACCCACGACCCAACTGAGGACAAGTGCTATAGAAACCGCATTGATGCATCGACGGGTAGTCTTGAAAATGTCTGACTAACGCATATGCATCATACAGCCATGACAAACGTGAACATGTTGTGACTGGACATTCATACAGAAAATGTATTTTCATGGCTTGTTGCTTCTGGTTCTTCAGGCTCAGTGACTCTGCACCAGTGGCAGCAGCTGGCCATACCAAACCTGGGGGGTATCCTACACCCTCGTCCTGGTGTCCTGACAAAGGACTTCAGGGAACTAGAAGTGGACATACAGCACGTCTACAGTCTGAATGACCTGGAGGAGGATGAACCTGACCTGTCGCTGCTCTCAGGAGCTCACAGCATGGGTAGGACACCTGTTAATTACCCCACACACATGTAAAATACATTCACATCCCCTATACAGTGAACCCTCGCTTTTTCTTGCTTGATCTTTTGTACCCCTGCATAGCGAGTGATCATTTTTTTTCCCCATGACCTTTTACAGTTTACAAACCAGTCCAATTACCGTGCAATTTATTTCAATTCAAATTTATTTTTATACCGCCATACCACAGCAGAAGTTGTCCCAAGACACGTTACATATGAAGTAAGTCAAGAGCCACACTCCTCACACATTAGGGGGAGACCAAGTGAATTTGAACACGTCGTGCCGCGACATGCCAGGCAGCACTGAGCTTTGCTGGATGAGATGCAGCGTAGTTAAGAGCCAGAAGAAGAGGCAGCGCAGGTCCGCTGCTAAGCTAGAGTAAATGGTAATGACTTCGTATCGTGCTTTTCTACTTAACGCATTGTACTCATTCATCTACTGATGACGCAGTATCAGGAGCAACTGGGGGGGTTAGTATCTTCCTCAAGGACAAGTCGACATTTGTCACAAGGGCTGAAAGTCAGACCCACAACCTTATGTTGGGTGATGACCAGTCGACCACTTTGGCCGTGCTCATTTGTCATTGTTCCACAAGAGCTAAGAGAATTTAGGAGTGTGTGTATGTTGTGTTTGTGTATGCTGCTTCTCAGCATTTGTTTGAACGTTTATCATGACAGCAACATCTATGATGATAATGATTTTGTTTGCCTACCTATAACGTTTCACATTATATTTTCGCATTAAGCTAGTTGACTTTCATTTGCCGAATATTTTTGTTTCAGGCATATTGTCCAGCCCTACTAAGTGCACTATGTTTAAAAACATGTTTATTTAATCTTTATGTTGACCGGTAAGGAATTTTTTCTCGCTCTGCAGAGAACTGTGAGCACGTTTTTTGTTTCCTCATAGTGATGTTGTATGTCTCCCATTTCTTGACGGCGACAGACTAAGAACAGGCGCAAAGAATAATAAGAATTGAATCAGCTTATTGTGTGAGGGAAGGATAAAACTGTACAACTTTTTCTTTTAATATTGTCATTCAATATCATCGTTTTTCCTTCTGTCATGGGTCTGTTACTTATCCCTCCCTATAAACAGATTTTCGCTCTATTCCTCTCCATACTTTATCTTCTTCATGCTTCATACACCTGCAGAAACTATTAAGTATACAGCACACCATTTCAAACCACAATTATTGTTTTTGTTTGTTTGTTTTTTGTTTGATGTTAGTGCAGAGTAGTATTTGTGCATGTTGCAGTAGTGAGTATGTTGTTGATATGTTGTAAAAGTTCAGGGTGACGTTTTCCTTCCGCCAACCCACAGTGTCTCCGTCGGGTCCCAGCCTGCCTCAGACCTTTCCCACTCCCACCACCACCGACTGCCAAGTCCCCGCACTATCCCTCCTCAACCCCTCAGTCCCCTTTAGGTAAGAACTCAAGTAGTAGTCTTGCACCTTTTCTTGCCACTTCCTTTGTCATAAGCGATGACACCCGGGTTTCACAACTGACTTGATTTCTTCGTGAATCTGACTTTTTCAGGCAGAGGGTTACAGTATATTCTGTTGCAGTGCTCTTAAATCATTCCACACAACTTTTTTTTTCCCCCCCCCCGTAGTGGCAGAAAACGTCTGTCCAGACTCTTTCTCCAACTCTAGCCAACTCTAGAAGGGGCAAAGTAAGAGCTGGTGGCTCCAGTATAACTTGAATTCTCATTTTCTGTTTTCAATTTTTAACAAGAGGCACAAAACCATGTCTGCCTGCATGTCATCCGAGCAACGTCTTGATGTCAAGCGATCCAAGGTTGAACGTCACAAATGAACCATGAGCTCATTCAGTCCTGTATGGAAAGCCATTTGATCCTTTACTTGATATTAAGCTTCATTTCCATGTACTAGTACCGTATTTTCCGCAGTATAAGGCGCACCGAAAAACATTCCGTTTTCTCAAAAGCCAACGGTGTGCCTTATATATATATATATATATATGGATCAATATTCTGATTTCTTGGACGTAGTATTTTAAATGTTCTGTAAAGAGATTTGTTATAACTGCAGTGGTTGTGAAAGCGCTATATAAAGCTGTATAGTATTGTATTCTCTTTAGCGTAGCTCCATCTAGTGGATGCATAACGCAACCACAGCCACTAATGTAGCTTCTATTCTATGCGCCTTATAATGTGCCTCATATATGAAAACAGTTTTAAAATAGCCCATTTATTGAAGGTGCGCCTTATACTCATGAAGCGCCTTATAGTGCGGAAAATACGGCACATTCTTTGTCCTCACTGCAAAGGCAATTCACTGTACTAGGGTTTTACGTAACATTTTTTTCTCCCTCTTTCTGCATGACATTTCTGCACATATAGGACATTTAACGAGTGAAGCAAAACTGTGCATTAATTGACATCTGCGCGCTACTCAAACAGTTTCATCAAATAATGTCAAAGTAGTACTAGTAGCAGGACAAAGAGTGGACTAGTAAGTGGGCTCGCCGGATATCAAGGATGTGGAATAGATGCTCATTCGGCTTTCCATATTCGTTGTACCCTTTTGTTTTGTTGCACATCCTCAGCTCAAGTTCACTTGTGTGCTGAAGGCTGATTGAGCTGTTCCATCTGCTCTAACTTGTTTGTGCACTTCTCTTACTCGCGTAGCTTGTTGTATAATTTTTCTTAACGACTCTTTCATAACAGTTAACCACAAGATTGCGTTGCATCAGCGCTGCTTCATTAACCTGTTTTTTTTTTTAAATACATTCCACTACAACAGCTAACAAACCTAATGAGATTGCTTGCACATTTTTGTACTCATTTTCATTCTCATCCCTTTGCAGCCATCACCCTATCGGCCTGCCATTATGTCCGAACTGTGAGCACATGAATGCTTCACCTGTTTCTGGCCAGCGGCACTTTGGCCTCAAAGGCCGCCCCACCCCAAACGTAAGCCGGTCATCACCGGGACTCCTGCAGCTTCTGGAAGAACGAGGTATCTCTGCCTGCTTTTGTCCTCGCAAACACATACGCTGCATCCACAGCACTGAGCCTCAGCTCTCCAGCGCCGTCGACACAAACGGGTGCTCATGCACGAACACAGGTGGGACAAGCAACATTTTCAGCTTGAACATAGTTGGAGAAGCTTCAGCGTCTCAGGCTGCACAGAGTGACCGCCTGGGGGAAGATGAGTCGTGTGGGCAAAGTCGAAGGAATCCCTGCGATGTTCACCTGATGTTTTGAACGTCTCACACTGCTGTTTGCCCATTGCACACGTGTCCGTGTGTGTATGTGTCCTGTGTCGTGGCAACATGCGTTCTCCTCTATGTTCATCTCAGGACAATCATTCAATGTCATGCTGCTTAATTGCGGCAACAGCTTCTTTTTACACACAAGTATGAAACTCCAAGAAAACTGAACTAATCTTTTTTTTTTTTTTTTTATACCATATGTTGTATAGGTTATTTAAACTTTCAGGTTGAAAATATTGTATGTTGTTGATGTAAATTTCATGCAGTAATTTATTTCTGGCAGACTAATGAATTTTCAAATTGCACTGAAACACATTCTGGTCTTCCTTATTACCTGCTGTATTGATAAAACACACATTGTATATAACATGATCTAGTATCATTAAATTAACGCAACTAGATGACGATGCACTGAGAGGACGAAACAGTGACTGCACTAATTAATGCCATTGTTGTTCACGTTTTGCTGTTTTCACATCGCAAATGTTTTTGGGACATCAAAACACTGATTTTAAATCGAATGAATGTTGTTTAAGACAAAACAATAGTATTCAAGGCATCATAGGGACTTTCATTCTACACTGAGTAAAAAAAACAACAACACAATATTGGTGTTGGGCATGCAGGCATATGCGATCGTTAGAAGTAGAGTAATTGACACCGTCGTCTGTAGCAAAAGGGCATAGGATACTGTAGTTTTTAAAGGGAATAACATGAGAAACACAAGTTATGGTCACTTGTGCTTGACGTTAACCGAAACACTTTGATCTGCATTTTGAATGTGCTATGTCTGATTTTGTAATATTTCAGTGCGTGTGTATGTGTGTACCATCCCACCTGTGAATAAAATGTTGCATTTCCAAACCAATTCAGCTGTCAAGAATGACTTTTTTTTTTAACTTTGCCAAAAAAACTTTATTCATGAAGTTGCAAGAGTAGTAAAATGAGCAGCAGCTCAAAGCAAAAGCATTCGGCGAACACTGAAGCAGCCGCGGCGGCCTCCCCTCTGTCATTCTGCGTCCCGGCGTCCGAAATCCACCCAGCCTTCATAGTCACGGTTCATCATGCAGTCAGAATTCACCATCTCTGTCAACAGATCATTCCTACGTGAACCACGTGAGACCTTTCGTACAGGTGCACGCATAGGAGCATCTCTTGGAAAATTGCCCTCATCTGGAACTTTTTTTTTTTTTTTCACGCCCCAAACCCACAGCATACCTGAGATTGCTTGCATGATTTGCTTGGTCATAATCACACGCTCGTCCTCCGAAAGGTGTGCCCGTCTCACCGTGCGTGAAGGCAGAGGCTCCTGTCTGGCTGCAGAGCTTCTTGCTGCCTCCCTCCCGTCTTGGAGCTGCTCGACTTTTTTGCTCCCTCTTGCAGCAACTGCGGCACACGCGAGCAAAACAAATACAAGTGCAAACGCTTTCATCCTGTTCCCTGACATGACCGCTGAACGAATCTCTACTCATTGGCTAGTCACGGGTCCTCTTTTATAACACCGGCAGAGCATTTGAGTCGGAAACAAAACGAATATCGATAAGTGACCATGGCAGAGCTTTTGATTGATTGGGCCACCATTGTGGCCAGCAGATGTACGTCAAGGAAAAGATACATTGCTACATCCATAAAGCCATCGTTGTGCTTGTCAATTACATGTGGGGAAAGCTTTTTGCGCTGCAATAACAATAAAACAAGTCAATCTATTTCCGCAAGCAATCCAATAGTTCCTTCGTGCGTTTTAACCAAAACACAGACTGTGGTGTTGACGGACACGTCTGACAATCACTTATCTCTTAGAAACTCGGCTGCAAGGGTAAACACTTTTTTTTTCCTCCTTCAAATGTTTACACATGTCTGACGCAGTAGCAGGAAATACAACACTGAATTTGTGACTCATCTTAGTCTTTATTTTGATAATGTCTGGGCTGCTCCAAATGAATGTCTTTGTGGTATTCTAATTGGAATCAAGGTGTTGTGTAAGTGATTTATTGTTAAAATATAAAGGATCAACAGTTTCCATTTATTTCAAATTCCAAGGATTTTTGCAGCTTTGGGGGAAAACAAATGTGGTAAACTGGATCATAACACAAAAGTTGGTGCACACACACCAAATGTTATGTCATGAGAAACAGCAGATACTGTAGCACCTCGGCACTGTGGCTAATCAACAAATGAGATGACAAAATAATTTATGTTTGAGTTTGTGAATGCCCCATGTGAACTTCATCAAATTGAATAATTACAAAAAGATGTACACACCCATCAGTGAAATCTCATCTATGCGTCAACAAACGGAGAAAGCTTGTTCCCTTCACCTCTTGCCAGGGCACAGGTTACTGCACGCGCACACACACACACACACGCACACACACACACGCACGCACACACTTGATCAGGACATTCCACCTCTGTGCTCAGTTCTGTGTCAACTTTAACAATGTTCTGATCTCTTCATGTGCAGTCATCTTTACATAACTACTCATCGATGTGATGTTAAAATCCAGTACTTGTAAATGTCCGGGCCCAAAAAAAATGACATTCACGATATTGCCGATAGCAGCTCCAGCCGATCATAGTGTGTAGTTTTGGTCTCTTTAACAGAAAAGGAGCATAATCATAAGCTTATTCCGGGCATCTTAAAAGTGCTTTTTTTTGTGATTTGATGAAGTGGTTTGAATTGTTTTGCGAGAGATTCAAAAGTACCACATTTAAATGTGTATTAACCTATTTAAACCTATCTAAAAGACTACCATACGTCTGTCTTTTCAATTGTAATTTCATCTTCAAGGCCCTTGCACTTTACTTTTTTTTTTTCTTCGTCAGTAATGCCCGGTTTTAACTACAATTTCGATTTAACAAAAGTAGGTTGGTGCTGCAAAATGAGTCCATGGATGTGGAGTAAGTCGCCTGTGTCGCATTGTGACACGCCAAGTTTTCTCTTGAAGGGTGTGCCACACCACAGACATACTTTTCAAATGCTTGCTTCACTAAATGCCTCTTTGAAATGTGTTTAATCATGTTTCCAGTGTGACAGGTGCGACAGTATATGTTCTAACTCACTCGAAAAAAAAAAAAAATCAGCACCAACTGACTTTTGAGTCATTCAAAAACAAAATCAATTAAAAGCCTTTTGTGGCCTCTCTTTCGCAACATTATCGCTCCAATATACAATGCACAATATCGACGTGCAATTGCCGGCGCTTAAAGTTGATACAACGTAGCTGAGCCTGCCCAGCTCAGGCAATGATCAAATGTCATGGGAGAACAAGCAGTTAAATGTGGCTTGGCCGCAACGAAGGGCGTGAGCCAAAATGGAGTGTTTGGTGAAAAGGTCACAGGAGGCCACTGAGACAGCCATCTCCTTGCCGTGCCTTAATTTGGTAAGCTGAAAAGTTATTGATGCTCGAAAGACTATTCAGAAATGTGCATGAAACTATAATTCAGGGTGTCAAATTGGGAGCCGCGGCATTGCATTAGAACATATGTCCACTCAATGCCACAAAGGCTTTTTAAAGGTTTTAGTGTGCTTACATCATTTTTATTTGACTTCTTATTTTTTTACTATAATTTTTTTTTTGTTACCACTAGACTCCAGGGCCGCTGCGGTTTAATTTTCCCAAATTCCTGTCCCGAGCATCCTCATACCTGCACGTTGAAGTGGAGCAAATCCTGATCATGTACATTATCTTTCCCTCTCTTCTTTGGCCTTCCTCTTGTTTTTTTTTTTTTTTTTGCCTTCTAACTCACAGCCTCCCTAACAGGGTCTTCTCCCTCCATTATCCCAACTATCCCATGATGTGCTCACTTGTCATTTTCAGTCGACTGCATGTTGCAGTCCAAGACAAAATGGCCGCCGCCTAAAATGGATTAAAAAAAAGGAGGTGGATTTTCTGCTTAATTCCTATTCCAAGTGTGCAGTATAATATTAAAAATTGAAATATTTGAATACCATGTTGCAACTATTGGGGCTGCATCAAACATACATCATAAAAAACATACATCATAAAAAATACCGGAGAAGGTTATGTCCCAGTTAAAGCACATAACCTGCATTTTACATCTAACATCACACCCTTTTTAAGATAGGTTTTTGTCCTTTTAGCTAAAAATTTTGTTGACATTTTAAATTGTTAAGACAGGTGACTTTTCATGCGCCTTAAGGATGGCCATTGTCAGGCCCCTTCTGAAAAGAAATAATTGATGCACTGCAGAGCAGTCAAATTACAGGCCAATGTCCAATCGGACTTTAAAAAAATAAAAAATAAAAATCAGAAGCTTGCTTCTAACCAGTTAAATGATTTCCCAAATACCTACGGTTTGTATGAAAAATTCCAAGGGTTTTGGACAAATTATAGTACAGAGAGAGCATTTAAACAGTATTAGAATTCATATGGACATGAGAAAACTCCGTCCTGGTCGAACTGGATCTGAGTGCATGCTTTGATCACAATAATCTTTTTGAACAGGCTGCACAATATGATCAGACTCTCAGGTACTGTGTTAATTCTGAAGTTACTGGCAGGCAATTTTATGTCACCATCAGTGAAGACTACTTGTCAACAGGTCACAGGCTGGATTGTGGTGTTCCCCATGGTTCAATTTTAGGTCTTGTTTTATTCATGTTGGAGACGTGGGATACGTTTTTACGGTTATGGTGATGACACTCCTCTCTAAAACCTTTGTTTGGAAAGCACATTTACTCTTTGTAACTGTATTTTAGAATTGCCTTCAGCTCAAAAAGGACAAAACGTTTTTGTTATTGGTTCTGAAACTCAGAGAGAGAGACTTATTTTAAGATAACAGCAACTTTTTTTTTAACCAATAAAATAAAAGTTAAAAACTTAACCAAACTTTCATCCCAGACGTTAAGAGCAGAGTGAAAACTATATTTTAGCACTTGATAAACATCGCCAGAGTCCATTTATTTCTCTATAAAGGAAACATTGAGGTGCTAATGCACACTTTTATCTCCAGTGGCATCTGTTTTATTTTATCATATCAACCCCTTTGGAGACTCACTACAGTACTTCCGGTCCCAGCCTTTTAGTAATACCTAAAGTAAGTTCCAAGAGCAACGGAGAGGCTTCGTTCCAAGTCTAAGCTTCATCTAAACAGGCCACCATTGAGTGAATAAATTAAAAGTAATATGATAAAAGGTCGTCATTGTTTCAGTACATCCTCATGTGATATTTGGTGGTGTGCCGTGGGATGTAAAATATGTGCCTCTGCTCAATAAAATTTGTGAAACAGCGGGCACACAAAATATCATGCAATTGTATGGAACTGGTTGAATTAAAAAAAAGAATTAAAGTGATTGTGTTGTTTTTTTTTTTCTTCAGTGACAGTTGGTGCTCTATTATTCATGCTCATATCATAAAAAGAATGTTTTTAAAAGAGAATCAGTAACGCTTAGTGATCAGATTGTTGTCCAACCAGTCAGCCTCCATTTAAAACATTGACTCTTTAAATGTTATTTGGCCCGGTCTATCAGGAGTAGACATCAAGCTGCTGAACTTGATTGTCAACCTGTCATTCGCAATTGTTCACACCTATTAAGCGCAGAAAACTATTATCAGCATACCGAACATAGCTGCGGCATCTGCAGGGACTCTCTATAAAATGTCCACTTGCGCCGTCCGCAGTCACTCCTCGTTGACTGTAGCTTCAGCCTCCACCTGCACCTATTCACCATGTCTCTCATCGGAGGCCGCTCAGGCACCAGCGCCCGCAGCATCTCTTCCGCCAGCACCATCAGCATCGGCGGAAGCCGACTGCCGCTGGGTGGGGGAAGCCAGATGACTGTCTCCGGTATCTACCAGGGCCGCGCACCCAGCGTGTATGCGGGCGCGGGGGGCTACGACACCCGCATCTCCCAGGGCAATGTCCTGCTCTCCTACGGCGGGGTCAATTCGTACGGGTTTGATACCATCGGGATCAATGAGAAGAGCACCATGCAGAACCTCAACGACCGCCTGGCCTCCTACCTGGATAAGGTAAGAAATCAGCAGGACCAAAAGCGGGCGGCAACTGCCCCTTCTTCAGCTTCTTCTCTCTTCTTTTCCCTACATGCTCAAATGTTTTCTAAAATGGTTTCCAATCATAAGCTTGTCATGAGCTTCAGGAGAAGCTCAGTGCTTTTAGACATTCCAGGTTTTCTTTTCTGTCTGTTCGTCACATGATGAATCTTTTGTGGTACAAGGTAATGAAACGAACGATTGAGAACTCAAGGTTGTCTAATAATATTTTCCAAGACTGTAATATTTGCCAGTGACAGGCAGTACGATTCAATGCTCTTCAACTTGATTAACCCGTGTATCCACTTTCTGTGACCATTTTATTTGGGGATATGCCGTTTGATCTTTTTCTAATATAATGTGTGCCTTGACTCAATTAAATTTGGGAAATGCTGAGCCGCAATAGGAGTGATGGATCCAAATCCTACCTTTGCAATGATAACTTTGATTTCTATCAGAGAGTTGGTTTTTGAAATAGGATGTGATACATATTTTATTGATTCAAATAAGGCAATATTAAATATTAAAAGGAGACTCAGCAGCTAGAAGAATAAATAAATGCGTTTGAACCTATTGTTCTCAGGAGTTGCATTTGGTAATGCAATGCAGATAGTGTTCACAACACAACATTAAAAAAAACAAACAAAAAAACAAAAAAAAAAACAGTAAATCTAACATTCAGAATGCTGTGCTAACGCTCAATTTGTTTTTATGCCGATCACAGGTTGGTCCTGAAATGTTCTCAAGGAAATGATTAAATACAACAAAGGACTTAATGACTCGTTGATTGTCTGTAATTGCCGCTTGCGTCCAGGTACGCTCTCTCGAGGCTGCCAACAGGAAGTTGGAGCTGCAGATCAGAGAGTTTTATGAGAAGAGGTCTCCAATTGCCAGGGACTTCACCGCCTACTTCGCCACCATCAATGAACTGCGAGCCCAGGTGACTATTCCTGCTATGCAAAAAAAAAAAAACAAGGATCCAAGCCCAAGTCTAGACTCATTATCCACCAATAGTTTTACTGCAGAACCGGTTTAGGTGGCTGGGTGGAGCATGCTTCTCTGTCTGCACATTTACACAGCTTTCAGTTGACGCCGTAAGCTTACGCCTGCTTGTGTGTATCAGACAATCGGTGATTAAAAAGAATCAGTCTAACGCTAGTCATGGAAAGTTGCGGGGCCAATAGCAGGACGAGTCCAGTACGCTACGCTTTACTGCGGTGACAATTGATCTTCCATTCCTCAAAAAAATTAAAAGTGGTCTCAATGTTTTAGCCTGCGCCACACAGTTGCATTTTGTTAGTTCAACCCAAAAACATTTGTCGATCAGACAAAAAAAAACAAAAAAAAAAAGACAAAAAAACCTTTCATTGTGTCGCCCCATAAAAT